TGCTGAGACTGCGACAAATACTACGTGGGACAAACCAGAAAAAAGCTCAAGACACGACTCCACGAACACACACTGGCGGTCAAACGACACGAGGAGAAAGGGACGCAAACAGCCAATCACAACCCTCAAACAGAACTATAGAAGCCCTGTCCCACTGGGGATTGGCGATTCCTCGAAGTCGCACTGATGATGTTGCCTAGCTTGGCTACGAAACTTCTGCGAACTACACTTCCAGCTCGGAGAACTCACCAATACCAACATCCGCATCCTGAGCTACAATCATTCCACATCATTTCAATCATCAAATTCCGTTGCTTCCATCATACCTTACTTTCCTAAGCCGCTGCAAGAGGTGTTTGGTGAATTCAAACGGGTGATTTTTCTTCAAGTTCCTACTGCAGCATTCGATATGATTACGTGGTCAAATGTGAAGCGTACGCTTGCCTCACGATCACATTCCTCACCAAACTATTGCAACATCAACATTTGTAATAACATTCAACATCCGTTGACCTGAGAATACTGCAATACATTTTCATCTGATTCTTGTACAGAATGACATGACTAAAGTTTGTGCGTGGAAGCTGCAGGTCGTGGTAAAATCGGCGCATTTGGCTAACGAATTGTGAGTCAAGGCTAAAGGTATGTAGGTCGAGGCCATAAAATTGTGCGTTTTGGATAAAGCTTATTGGTAAACGCATTGTTTTTCTATTCGTTGGCCTATCCACTGTTGTTTTTGTTATTTAAATGAATCAAAAAGCAATTTAGTGGCTTGAATTATTTGGACGTGTAATTCAGTTCACCGTAACCGGGTCAGTTTACGAGGCTAGGGGTGTGTTTTGAATACAGTGCTCACGATATCCGAGGAAATCATTCACGCGTATCAGCTGTAGAAGGGGAATAATGTGCGAAACAATAATCACGTTGCTTACCTGTGCGAATGTTAGGTGAACGGTGTGAATTGCCCTGGGCGATCGGTTAATCACATATATCTGGGGTATTATGGACTCGCCCGGTACAAATCCTGTCTTGTTTACTGTCAGGTCACAAAGAATCAACCCATTTGGACTGGCACAGCACCCGGAGAGGACGAATTCCTTGTGCAAGGTGACCCGATCCTGAGGGATGACGAATTCGAGTGGGAGGATTTCCAAAATAAAAGTGGTCTGGAGTCAGTTCTTCAATTGAACACGCAAATTTAAAACATTCGGTAGATGTTGCCGGACGTATGGGCATTCTTATAACGGTGTAGAGTTATATCGATCGACCAACCAGTCTCATAAATAAAATTAGCATCATCACACATTGTCTAAACCCCTGAACGGTTACGATGGTAAACATTTTTGCATAAAAACGACCCAACTGCAGACAGTAAGCTATTAGCCTCGGCAGGATATTCCCACTATTGACGAAATCACTTTTATCATTTGATTTGTATTAAACTGGTAAACAAAATGGTGTTAGCTGCGTCAGTCTCTTGCTGATCTCTTCGTCTCCAATTCAATCCTATTTGGGTTCCACTTGAAGAAGGTTAATTTATCTCTGGTGACGTGATCTCCTTCCATCTATGATTAACGGATGCACTTCAAGTGCACTAATCCGAACGGATAAAAACGACTTTCAGAGAGAGGCAGTTCAGGCCTGTTTGTTGTTCACAATACTTTTCACCTAATGCACAATACAGCAGTATGAACAAGCTAACGAAAATGAAATTCATGAAAGAANCTTGATTGACACATGCAACTACCAGATGCATAAGATAATTTTCTTGGCTATATGCTGCGCATCGAGTTTGTAGAAACAACGAGGTTATTAATCATCCCACTTTCCGGTTTTCCCAAAACAACCAACGCATTTAATCCCCTGAGATTCCTTCGAACATTCAAAATTTTACACACCAGAATATTTCAGGTGTATCTTCTTCATACCTCGACTCCACTCTCTGTCTCTCTACTTTGGACTTTCTCGGTTCGATCGAGAACCAAGACAAAAATCGATCCAATCTAATTATATGGCCTATTTCGTAAGGCTGGCCTCAAATCTGCCTACCTCCTTTCCCATTTTCTTCTTATTTGATGGAACTACTGTTCACCTGCCTACATTCTACCTATCCACTTGTTAGTGCATGAGTGTGTCTATGTATGCTTGTGTCGTCCGACTTAGTGTGTCTATTCGAATCACTTGCTCACTCTCAAATGCTCGCTCATCCGCTAGCTCGCTCGTCTTCGAGTCTGCACGCACAGATGGATGATTCTACACTCTACCTCCTCCCCGTCCGCACTCCTATCCGGCTACTACAATCGGTGTCCCGTTGTCGCCTAGCCCCTAGTTTCCTGGTGCAGTGATCGGATCCTGAGGTGAACACTGGATGCCTGGGGAGCTTTGCAATTTGGTAATTAAGTTCCTCATGGCAGCAGGAGGAGCATAGGTTTGAGTGTGCGTTGGCATATAGACACACGCTCACGGGCATTGCATCTGAAGAAGTAGAAATGCATCTCACTGTACACACCTAGACTGTTGGGAAACGGTATCTGTTAAATGGTATGCAGACGAATGTGAGAAACGCACGCGCAATACAGGCATCCGCAGACTTAGATAGACATAACTGCACAGACAGACATGTATACACACATACACACGCGTTCGCTATGTATCAGAAACTGACGGGGGATGCAACAGGAAAGTGGTGATGGGAAGCTGAATTTCACATCAGAATGAAGGCAAAATGTGAACACTTGACTGAATTTCGTTTAACTACACAAAAATATCTGTTGGATATACTTTCACATACTTCTATATTAAACACCTTACAATTGTACGTTTGTAATACAAAGGTAACTGAGAATTTAATTTTCTCATGCGCGCTCCCCGTTTCCATAAAATAAACGAAAACAGAATAGAAAAATATTTTTTAACGCAAGGTCTGTAAAAAGGCATTTTATCATTCAACAGAAAAACAATGCATTTGCTGAAACTATTAAAACGATAAAAGCTTTTAGTAAATACGTGAAGTACAAAATTCCAAGCTTTATATCATGACCTATTTGACCACTAAACAAACGTCTTACAATCGATCAATCATTGTTCTTCAGCATTAGTGTGATGTGAAGAAGGAACTGATATTGTACATCAATAACGAATGTCTCGAAGTGGTTACTACGATTGATGAAGCAACATCATCCCAAAGGCTGACATGGTAAACACAACCCTTATTCACCTACCCCAAACGATCTAACACCGTTTATCTAATTTTTTCGTTCAAGCCATTGTATCGCAACCTGAATCCCAAGCTTTTACCAGAAAAAGAAGCAATAAAATTACTTCAGCCAGTTTTTGGTATCCTGGTACAATCAGTCAGATTGCCTTGGGACTGATTGTTGAGCTGTTGTTTTTTATGTTTAATGTCCCACCCCACCCTCTCCCCCGCTTCCCCGACTATTGTCCATCTCACCACTGTAGTTATCTAAACTTGCTTGTGTAAATGCCAGATTGTTTTACGTTGTAGCAACTGAAGAGACTAAAATAAATGTTAACATTTGGCAGTATTTGTCTTCGCTCGGTTCTAACGAATTTTATGTTTGTGTCTATCACACCTTTGTTTCTGTGGTCGATTTTCATAATGAGTGATTTTTTGACATAAGATTGCCGTCGGTTTATTTGATTCGGTATAAAGAAATTATTAGCGGCTTTGGCTTTAATTAGCCACTACCATTAGGCCATTTATTTTGCTAGTTTTGTCTGGTCATTAAGAAAAATCAGAACTATTTATCCTATGCTTTGTCGTAACATAGTTGTGATGTAAGAAATTAAGTTTTACATATCTATTTTGTCATCCTTTTGTTTTACTCCCTTTCATTGAATACACAATGAAACAATTTTCAGGAAGGGGGGAAGCAGCCAATCAAAGGGCTACCATACAATACACAAATGGGGAAAGTCATATATGGTAAATGTACCAAATCGTACTTCACCTACTTCGTTCTTCACTTCTTTGTTGTCAAAGAATAATAAAGTTTCCTTCAACTTTTACAAGTACTAATCTATATTTCCACTGACAAAACTGATATGGTGAACAAACGTTTAGAAGCATTCAATTTACCACAAAATGGTTTTATTGATAATTAACTGCATAGTTGTTGACATTATTGGATCGCAATGCCTTCATATTTGTATGGTACGAGATGTTTGATCACCTGTTCAGTTCCAGTTCAGTTTGTACAACCGTTAACCGTACACTCTCGTGCACTGGTTTAGGGTGCAGCCTTTTGGTTGCCCATTTTGATAAGGCAGTAACAGAAAGACATGAAAGGTAGAAGTGGAGTCGAGGAGAAAATGGAAACTTTCAGTTGACTAAGGTTGCGAGGAAGTTAAGAAGATTCACGAACTCCGTTGTTTACGATACTCAACCATATCAGTGCCTCTAACCACCGGTTACGATCATCCTGAGGTTCCCAACCAGAGAGCCTAAGGCGACCTATGTGACCGAGATTTAAAAACGAAGCTCAGCGTTTCCTCAGTGGCTGCTTTGTTATAAGAAAGTGGGACCGTTTCCAAATTATGCAGTTGCAGCAGCTGTTGTGCGGTTCCCGTGGATGTCTAAATAAAAGCAAGGTGAAAACTAAAATAGCAGCCCAGCAATCAAATGGACTGTTTCCGATATGAATCATTCTTATAAGTAAATAAAGTGTTTTGTCTAGAAAAGAAGTGGCAACACATCCAGGATTTTTACTTGAAACCTCTTCTTTTTACTCAAAAGCAACTCAAAACGGACGATCATTTTCTCTTCTCGACTTCCTTATTGAGGAATCGATGAATGGCCTGAATTTCGCCCGAAAACGCTTGTGGTTATAAACTGGTAACTAATTTAGGTAAGTTTCCCGGGAAATTGAAAATAATAAAAATGATAACTGCTGCATAACTAGACAGTTTATCTAAAAATCTTCGCGTTCCACTCTGTTCATGTTTACAACTGCTTATATACAAACATAAGTTGAACTTACTCGAAGTCGGGGAAAATGCGTCAGCTCAAGTGGTCGAAACACAATGATTTCTCTCTGTTGTGTGTGCCGAATCCGCGCCGTATAGTTCCGGATCTCAATTCGTAACCCATAGCAGAGTCGAGCTGCTGCTCCACCAGCTAAACAGCTAGTTGGAAGTTCAAATGAGCTCGGTAAGTCAGCGGGAAGCTTGAACTCAAAATCAAAAACATGCGTACCCCGTGTCAATAGGAATGCGGTGCCTGATGCAGACTTTTTCATACTGTTTGTCTCTGTTTCAGGTGTCGCAGCGGATCCGGATTCGGGGTTTAGGTTGTTTGAATCTTCCACCGCTAAGCCCTCAGCGTATTCGGGGTCTGTTCTTTCATCTTCTGCGTTATCTTGTGAGTTGGAGAAACTACTTTCGCTTGATGGACCCGCCTCAGCACGAGTGTTTTGTCGAACGGGAGAGTTGTAATGTTTCAGCAGATTCACTTTCGCCCGATATATAATACGAACATCTCCGTAGCTTACTTTCCTCTTCTTTTTCTGCTTATTACTGTCAATATTTTGCATCGTTGAACACTTCTGGCTGGCTATTCTGGAAGCACATGAGTCACAAGACTGGCAAGTTAGGAATGCGAAACGATTCGATTTCATTTGGGCTGCTAGAGCGGCTTCATTACTCATGCAGCTAATTTTGCTAGTACTGCTACTATGTCGACTGCAGCTTCCTCGTTCCAGCGAAGCAATCAGTGTGTCTGTCACGGAGTTATACGAGTTTGAACGCTCTGTATTACGCGAAACTGGATCTCGAGAGTAGCTACCACCAGTAGAACTCATCTGTCCCATAGGAGGACGCATATCCCAGGGGCAATCGAAATCCGGATAGCACGGCTTTTTACTGTGTCGTGCACACAGTCCATCTCTTTTCCAATCATGACTTACGTTGCGTATGTTTTCTGTCACTTGAGAAAAGAAGCTCACAGTACTTGTGCAAAGGTTCTCCAAGTTTCGCTTATCGCCAAGAGCATTCAAAGTAGTGGTTGACCGAACCAAGTTCAAGCCGACCGAAAGAGAACCAGCTTCAGCAAGAGTAGCCTTTGAATCAGGTGTCCATCGCGTCTTCACAAGCCCATAAAGCCATATTACGCAACCTGGAAAGCGGAAAAATGGTGAGAAAAGTAAAAAGTAGTAACACTGATACGGCTGAACAAAATTTTAAAACTATATTTTTTGCAATGTCAACATTTGAAAGACTGAGAATAATTTACTTTATTCACTTCGTCGGTAAGGAATTCAAGTAGAAAAACCGGTTCACATGAATTCAGCCATTTCACATCACTTAACTTCATACGCCTTCATTTCGGTCTTCTACTTAGCTATTGCACTCATACACTTTGAGCTATAATATCAGGTTTGTAAATTTTTCCGAGTCTGTACTGCTGTAAAATGCAACATATCTACCATAATAATTTATGAGGAATGAAAATAAACATATTGCTTTTCCTTTGGATCACTTGTGGTCCTATGGGATAATATTTCAAGGTCCAGGATAGTTGGGAAATGTTTCGCTAGAAGAAATTAGAGTACAGTCATTCTTTTAATAACTGATGGATTAGTAAGATATTTTGTCGTTAACAAAAGTACAAAATGAAACTAACCGGCTTCACAACCAAATATACGTGACTGAATAAAAAGACTATATATATATATATATATATATATATATATATCATGTTTCACACACGTCTGAAGCCAGACTGTGTGCCAAACAAATCATGGTGCAATAAGCTTCATAAAAAAGTAAAACGTTCCATGATTTGCATGTGAGCCCAATACTGCCAGGTTACCCAGGCCAAGGCAGGTGAATTTTCTCGAGGAATCCACAACCGGAGCCTCCCACTAGCCAAAGCCGCAAGGTAGCGGTAAAAGTTAATTTATATATATTTCTTAGAAGGATTGTATTCTGAATCTTTCAATCGTTCAGGCACCAAAGTCAGAGCGTATAAAGAGCTCTAAATGGAGAAACTTACCTTTTGATTATATTTCAAGGAAGATTCTTGGAAGGGAGAAAGAAAAAAGGCAGTCTGTGGACTAATGCTTTGCTGCTTTCTTTTACACACAGTGGTATCACGTATTTTCGTGTATCTCCGCCTAAGTTCCACCTAGAAAATCGGGATTCCGAAAACTTGTCACTCGTGTGTCAGAGGAAACTTGAATGGAACTCTGAATGTTAAACTAATTTCTAAAGCCGTGAGAAATGCTTCCAAGGCCATTTCTTTGATTCAACCAATCTCTTTCCTGTGATTAAATGTATGCTTTTTTAGAGCTCCTAAATTCGGCCAAAGTTCTTATTTAGGCACCTGTGATGATATCAAATTCAGTTTCAGTTTGTACAACCAGTGAACATGCACCTTTGTGTTCTGGTTTACCTAAGACGATTGTCATTCACTGATAAGTAATAAACTTGTTACCGGTTTTTGTGAAATTTTGTTTCCTTGAGTTGAGGAACGTCAAGTGGCATGATATTATCGACAGCAGGTAAGGAACATATTATGGCCTACCTCAATGCTAGGTCAGAGGTTTAAACACAGCCCCTGCCATCCAACTTTGGTGGTAGGCAGTTTCTCTATCATTTGATTCAATATAATGCCTATGTTGGTTGCACCTAATGCAGTTAGGCATTCGGAAACCGAAGGTGTGAGTTGCCGGTTCAAATAAGTAAACAGTGACCTTGGGGTTTTTTCCTGTTGTTAACTATATCTTTATATAGTTAAAGAAATGTTAAAGAAATACACGACAAGTGTCCTGAAGGTTGAATACTCCATTTATGGAGAGAAAACACAGTGGCTTTAGCGAAGAAGCTCGTTTTTGACAACTTCTTCGGGCTAATACAGTTATAAAGTCAAAGTAAAATTAAAATGTGCTTCAACATCCATATGTGATTCGTGGTTTGTGAGTATTTTGGTGTGTGGTTGGGAGAGGGTAGGTAGGGCGAATGTGTTTGTAACAAGGTTGGGAAAACGTTTAGGATAAGGAAGTGTCATCACGTGTTAGGGTCGCGGGGTCATGGGAAAGGTCACGTCTATCTCGGGGGTGTCACACTGTGGCCAAGGTAGTCTGAGTGATTGTACGAATCGCTTTTGAGAACAAGGCGATGGGTTTAGTAATCGAATGGCCACGGCTTCAGTTGTTGTGAGATGACGTTGACTGGCGGCTTTCGAAGGGTTCGGTGGTGCACTGTAGAGTGAAGAAGCCATAGATACTCTATCCGTTCGTCTATATAAATCTCCGTCGAATAAAAATTGGACATTAAATGTGCACTTTAATAATAGCTGTTTCAGGTTGAATACGGGAATGTCAACCATCTACAGTGTAGTGTAGTGTAATTTTCATATTTTGTGTGTTAGTATATTGTGTTTTACGGGGCATGGGATTTCAACGGACAGACCGTACAGTATCCACACCACTGACTTCCACTCTGGGTCATGTCTCTTAGTGTCTCTAACCAACGACAATCCTCATCCCTTGACTTCAATCTGAAAGGCACGCTGCAACAACCGAAGCCAGAGCTGAAGGTAACTTCTTCTACGCCATGTCATGGTCTGACCTCAGTGACGTGTTTTCCAGCTCTGCCCAGCATGTGCAAAAAGAGTACGGAGATCAAGCCATCGTAAACGGTGTAGAGTGATTACTCCTTTTAGAGAACGACTATCCGCACTTAACACACGACAACGACCTGCGTCAACGCTCACCCGATGTTCTCACCAGACATGGGCAATGCTTCGGAGATATTGGTGGTCGAAAACGGAAAGTCAGTTAGCATCTTCTGTTCGGAGAGGCCAGGTCTCACAACCGTAAAGCAGAACACTACAAACAACAGTAATGTACGCCCATCCCCAAAAGGACAGTTGAATGTCACAGGTGTCACAAGTTGGCATAAGCTGTTCTAGTTTTCGCTATTCGTGATGTGATCTTCTCTCTAACACCATCACTAGATGCAATCAAGCTCCCGAGGTACATGAAGCTGTCAACTAAATCAATATGATCAACACAGTGGGTAAGTGCAGGCACAGGCTCCTTCCAGTCTTGAACAAGCACTTTACACTTTGATGATGCGAAGCACATACCACACCTAGATGCCTCTATCGTCAAAAATTAAAGGCAAATAATTACCTCAGAAAGCTAACCAATCATATCTGCCCCATTTTCGGCTGAGACACAATCAAGAAATGCAAGTGTTAACTAGACAGCGACGTCAGTCATACCACACGTGTTTTATTGATGTGACAACAATCCACTGATGAGTTAACCTTCCCCCAATCCTGACACTATTCAATAGAAAATGTTTGTTTAATCATGGCAAGGCGTGCAGATGACGAACAAAAGTCTTTCCGTACAATGAGCTGTACGCCTCAAATACCGTATAGCCGGTTCAAACTTATTCCTAAATGCGCTACGTGGATAACGGTGAACGTTTTTCATCCATCCGAATTGAATGCTGAACAGAGATAAAACACCTATCTTTTCTTCTGGCTCTTTCACGCTTAACGTTGTGAGAAGTGTTCGGACTGCAAATAACTTTTATCAGAGAACTGCACGCAAGCAACTTACACGTAGCCAAGAAATGCTTAAATTCGACGATCAGCTTTGCGTTCAAAACTCTAATCGAAAAGCGTTTTGTGTAGTTTATTGAAGTGGCAGATGTTTGATGAAATAAAATCGGATTGAACCGCAAACCAAAGAGGGAAAAAAGAGAAAAACAGTTTTCATGGAGCTGGAAATTTATCAGCTGTCAATCAGAAAAATTCCAGACATCTTCTGTCTTCTAGGTTGTCTGAACTCATTTCCGACAATTCAGGAAAATTAAAGGTCGCAACTTTTGGTTCAACAGCGTACAGTTAAAAGGCGACAAGCAAAACGTGACTGAGAATGATGTGATCGATACACGAAATATTTATTTATCATTATAGCACACAAAATAGGATCAACATCAATCATGCTTGCTGGTTGTTGTCGCAAAACTATCATTAGACTGGTGGGGCAGCCGGATGAGCAATGCTGAGGTCAGGCGCAGAGTTCTAGTTTAAATTCGGTCCCCCAATGGAGCAAATGGTCGACCTTCATAGATTATGTTGGTTCGAGCATGTGTTACGTATGTCACCAAATAGGTTACCACGGCGAGCGATGGTTGCCGAGGCAGTTAGCTGTTGGGAAAAGGTCAAGGGAGGTCAAACGAAGACCTGGCATGAGGGTATGAAAACCCTAACCAGGAGACTGGGTCACATATGTGCCATTAGGCTCCCTGGATGGGGACCTCGGGATGATCGTACCCGATGGTTAGAGACACTCAGTGATATGTTAGAGTGTCGTAAACAGTGGCGTCGGGCATCTTATCAATTTCTTTCCAACATTAATCCGCTGAAATACCAAATTTTCTCTTTGGTCCTACTTTCAATCTGTCCTGTCCTTCTCATAATATTCGTCCAAATAGGCAGCCAAAAGACAGCAACCAAAACCGGCACACGGTAGTGCATGGTCAATAGTTGTACAAACTGAAACTGAAACCATTGTCTTAATATTTCCTGAACTGCGTTCACGCAAGTGGATTTGATTCTAAGTGTCTATCAACATTTTGGCATTCTAAATCTGAACGGTCGAACAAGAAGAAAGGAATTAAGAAGAGCCGTTCCTTTTGTACGTTATCATTAGCCTAGCAGGGATTACTTCAGGTAAATTTAAAAAATGAGTTAAATTTAAAAATCCAATTAGGTTTCATGAAGTATTAGACCGTGTGTTTGTGATTCAAATAAGTTGTGGTAGATGGGTAGTAAAAGGCATGTCATACGCATCCAAAGACCTCCAGGGATTGCTATACACGATCTTCAAGTTTCCCAGATACTGAGTCCATATCTTTCTTGATAATGTAATAAGAAAACTTTCCTTCGATTCGCCTTATGAACTGTTTTGGTTGAATGGTGTTTGATAACCACTGTAGGTCTACCTAATGCAATCAAGACGGGCGGATGAGAACCAGCCATCGGTTTACGTTCGTAATTTTAAACGTGTTCAGCCATTCTATGCGCAGTGATTCGTCGATCCTGTCATTGATTTTTTCCTTGACGATGCAATAGAAAGTTTTGACGCAGGGTGA